CTTTAGGTCACGAGCAGTTGTCTAAGCATTTCACTGCATATCGTACTGTGTATGGCTGTGTACGTGACAAATAAAAATTTGAATTTGAATTTGCATTCTACACTTTTTAGCATCTCGTTAGGTATAACAACCTAATGCCAGCAACTGCACTGACCAGCTCAGCAACACCAAAAGGCCTGAAAAGTTGATGATTGCAGAATTGTTTCCTTCTAGAGAGATTGTCAAGGTCTACTACAATCAAAACACTTTCATGAGTGTAAATAACTGGTACTTATAGCCTCTTTCTACTCAATTTGAGCACTCAAAGCACTTTCTACTGCAAGTCACAAACATTCATACAGTGTTTTAACCTATCTATGACTAAGCGTCTTATCTAACAGTGCACACGCTGAGGGCAGCTCTTGCCCAAGGATGCTTTGACATGGGAACTGGAGGAGCCGGAGATCGATCTACCAACCTTCTGATTGGTAAACAACCACTACCAATGTACTGTAACGACAGAACATATTGCAAACTACTGGTTACACTCAAGAGCAGGAAGATCATATTAGACTTTCTAAAAGAGCCCTGCACAGGTCTGGAAAAAAAAAATATTTGGACAGATGAAAACTGAGCTGGTGGTGGAAGCGGAACAGCTCATGATCCAAAACATACCAGACATTATTTGTTAAACATGGTGGAGGCAATGTTATGGTTTGTGCATGTATACCTGCCAATAGAAACCAGCTAACTAGTGTTTCTGATGTGACTGCTGATAGATGCAGGAAGATGGATTCTAATGTGTAGAGGCCAGTATCACCTACTCAGCTAAATGCTGCAACGCTGATTGAGCTACAGAGCACAAATGGATAATGACCCAAAAGCAAAAGCAATCCACAAGTGTTTCAAGACAAAGAAATAAAATCAAGTCAGTCACCTGATCTCAACCCAAAAGAGCATGGTTTTAAGTTGAAGATAGAAAACTGAAGTTAGAAAGTCCGACAAACAAGCGAAGATGGCTGCAGTAAAGGCTTGGGATAAGTCCTCAAGGAAGGAAACAGCATCTGGTGATGTCCATTTGCTCTAGACTTCAGGAAGTCATTGATTATAAAGGAGTTTCATCGAAGTACTTAAAAAAATCTTTATATTTGAAATTATGTTAGTTTTGTCCAATTACTCAAAATTACAAACATTATGTCATCTTAGAAATGGACCAAACTGTACATATGCTGCAAACTTTCTATAATATGACAGAATGCTACATGGTACAACACTTTCTTTATTTTTGTGTCACATATTTCAGTCTTGAGTTTTAATTTATTCAGGAGGAAATTCTCTGACAATATGTCTAATTTAAACTGCTTTCACACCAGCTGTGACCATTCGTGTACTGAATATCTATTGTGAATAGCATTTTGGCAGCTTTGCTATTAGCTATTTAATGTGGGTGTATTATATACAGACCTCCGTGAACTGAGGCTTACTCATACCGTAACAGCACACGCTATAATTTAATGTAAGACAAAAGCAATCCAAGCAAATTGGGCAGCAGCAAGGAGCTGCTCTCTTTTGTGCAACTGGTGGCAATTCATTGCATACACAAAAGATCCAATCACGCATAGCAAAGTTTAAACATGTGGACATTCAGAGGGTGAGACACATTTGTTCTCACAGCACTCACTTTACAAGAGATGGAATAAAAGGAAACAAAAAAGGCAGACATGTTTAGCTGGGCTATTCAAATGTCCAAACACTTACAGTATCTGTTATCGTCCCTTTCCTCTCACTCATTTCCTTTCTTCATTTACACTTTGCTTCTCTTTTCCTTTCCTTCACTTTTTGGCACTGAATGTTTACTGTATTGATGCAAAGTACATAACACACAACTGCCCACACTATGAAAAAGAGCACAAGGAGATGCAGATAAATATTCTCACATTCACTCTGTGTTCTTCTACTCTTGTTCTCAAAGTACGAATACGGATGCATATTACATATTTCTCCTTTAAGCAATACACAATAAAATGTGCATCATATACTCAAACGCATAGAAAATCTAATGGGGTTATTCTCCACCGTTTCTCTTCACCATCTTGATTTTGATACAGATGCTTTATTAACTTTCTATAGATGAAGATTCGATTTTTTTAAATTTTTCAAATTAAATTTTTAAAATGGAATGGAAACTCTTGAACTGGATATTTTCTATAATTCTGCACCTTTGGCCAATCCCATAATGTTTAAATTAATGTTAAAACTCGGTTTGATCAATGCTCAGTTTTACTTTCTCCTATATTTCTGTTGCTATTGCTATTTCTCCTTGATGTACAGAATTTATTACACCATACCTTATCATTCATACATGCCTTATTCCAAAAATGTTGTAAAATGTGAATAAATAAATAAATAAATAAAAGGAGCATCTTAGAGAAGCAGATGTTCACCAGTTTGTTGAACAACTTTAGATTGATGCCCCTCAACATTTTGAATATCTCATCATCTACAGTACATAATATCATCAAAAATCTGGAGAAATCGCTGTCCAAAATGGATAAGGCCAAACATTGGTATTTGATGGGAAAAGCATGGGGCAATGCATGAAAAACATGAAATATTCTGTCACTGAAATCACTGCATGGACTCAAGAATTACTTCCAGTAATTTCCACAAATGTTATACTATCCACAAATACAGGTTCAAGCTCTCGCATGCAAAAAAGAAGCCATATGTAACATGATCCAGAAAAGTCACCGTCCTGTTTGGGCTAAAGGTCATTAAAAATACATTGAAGCAAAGTAGAAACCAACAAAAATGTGACATTCTTTTTAGAAAACATGGATGCCATCGTTCAGACTAAGGAGGAGATGGACCAGCTTGTTATCACCGCTCTGTTCAGAAGCCTACATCTCTGATTTTATAGGAGAACATTAGTGCCTATGAAATTAACAGCTTGCACATCTGGAAATTCATCTTTTTCAGAGAAGATCTTGCATATTTTAGCAATGTAATACTAAACCACATATGACAACAGCATGGTATTGTATTAGAAGAGCCTGGCTACTGGCCTGCCTGCAGTCCATCACATATACACACTTGGTACATCATGAAATGAAAAACACAGTGACGATGACCCACTATTTAGCCGCTAGAATCCTTTATAAGACAAGAATGGGATTCTGTTGAAAAATGAACTACCATAATCTGCCACTCAAAAATATCGGGGGGCGATCGTGGCTCAAGAGTTGGGAGTTCGCCTTGTAATCGGAAGGTTGCCAGTTCAAGCCTTGGCTCGGACAGTCTCGGTCGTTGTGTCCTTGGGCAAGCACTTTCCCCTACCGCCTACTGGTGATGGCCAGAAGGGCCGATGGCGCGATATGGCAGCCTCGCTTCTGTCAGTCTGCCCCAGGGCAGCTGTGGCTACAACTGTAGCTTGCCTCCACCAGTGTGTGAATGTGTGGGTGACTGGGTGTGTAAAGCGCCTTGGGGTCCCTAGGTGGGACTAGTAAAAGTGCTATACAAATACAGGCCATTTACCATATCTAATCCTTTACTTTTAAACACTGGCACCCAAACTAACAAACAAAAAAGAACAATTGAAAAACAAGATAATCAGATTCCTACCCTAACAGATCTCTCTTTCACGTGTGTGCATGCACACACGCACGCACGCACGCACGCACGCACACACACAGAGCAACTCCACCTTCTAGTTCCTGTGTTTTGGAAGTGTGTCTCTGCAGGGTGACCTCCATCTCTGTAATTACCTTGGTTTAATAACATTATTTTAGCAGTGTGCTTCTGTGTGCACATAATCTCACACACACAAACACACACACAGACAAGGACACGGTCTCTCATAGTCATTCAGCAGGCCCCAGGAGGCCTGTAGGTTTTACAGTTGAAAGTGGCAGCTCATTTTTCTTGGCTCTTCTTCCAAACTGCAGCGAAACAGCCAGACACATGAGGAGAAATAATAACGCACATCAGTGCTCATAATGAGAAAAATCAACAGCTTGGCTGCATGTTGAGCCAACTGAATATACCGAGCCTTTACAGTAGTGTTTTATGTGTGTGCCCTTTGTAAGTGACCCCCATGTGCCCATAGTCAAGTCTTTGACTTTGTGTAGCTGCTTTATTGTCTGTGTGTCTGTTTTGTCTCGTCTGCGCCTTAGTTATCATTGTCCACTGCTGCACCTGTCTTATATCCTTTGCTCTGAAAAGCCACTTCTTGTCTGTTTTCCATAAGGGGAGCTATGACATTAAAGTGTCAGAGTGTGTGTGAGCCCTAGAGGGTCAGAGACCCTTTTCTGAGTCATTACTTGACCTCTGAACTATGCCTTAACCTCTGTATGTGCCAGCTGAGCCCTTTTCTGTTTGATGCAATATTTCCTCACATAGTAACCTAATAGTGTCATTATGCAGCAACAGAGTAGCTGTTTGTTCCCTAATATTGAAGGATTAAGCTAAAATGTTTAAATGGCCTCAAATCAAACAAAACATGTAGGGAATTCAAAGTTTTTTTGTTAATATTCATTATATTTGCCTCCCCGGAACCCAGACCTCAACATTTATGGAAGCAGTGTGTCATCTTGACAGAGATGATCCCATGACAGAACAGAGAAGAAACAAAGATATAGAGCAAAAAATCTGGAGAACTGTTCCTCCAGAGTACATAAATAAACTTGCAAGAAAGCTTTTCTAAGAGAGGCCAGACCACGTGGAAGAATTCAGTTCAGTTCAGTTCAGTGCAAATTACAACAACAGTTGCCTCAAGATGCTTTATATTGTAACACAATATAACCGAGAAAACAAAGAAAACCTCAACAATCCAACGACCCACTATGAGCAAGCACTAAATAAATAAAGGTGGTCTTACCAAATATTGATTTAAAGCTTGTTAAAATTGTACACTCTGTTGTTCTGAAGAGAATTGTTCGTAGAGTTGTGATACAAACAAAACCAAAAATAGAAAAACTGAAAACACTTTTGTATACACATGTATGTCTACATTGAGTTGAATTGAAACAGACTCAGAAACTTTATTGTCATTGTAGCAATGAGAAATTAAACAATGCAAAAGAAGAATAGAAATTAGAATAAAAATAGTCAATTATTCCTTCACTTCAAATGAAAATATCATGAGAGAAAAAATTACTTGCTCAGTGGCTGTGGCTATTGCGCCTTTGATTAACTCCTCATAAACCAGTCAATTATTATTCCTAATGAGTTATGCGTGAGGTGCTATATTGCAGGCCATAACTCACTAGAGTCTCTTCAGAGTATTATCCGCCTTAAGTCTCAAACGCTGATTCATGTCAATTTTTATTGTACCGTTTTAAAAGTAAATAAATACATAGAAATTGAGGTCCAGAGCTTGATGACCTCATAGATGTTTATGGCCATGTGTCCCTGTGAACAAGTTCAAATTGTGCCCCTCCAATGACCTCGACTGTTTGAAAGACAAAAAACAATCTAAAGCCGGCCTTATATTTGATTTATTACACTGATAAAAGCATCTAGTGTAAAGAATAAAAAGCTCACAGTAATTCTTTTAAAGATCCTTTACACATATGTTTGAAATCATATACAAATACTCCACAAACAGGTTCATTCATGTTAAAAAAAAACTACAGGCACCTCTGAGTAGGATCCACAACAGTGCAAATAAAAGTAAGTAAGTGAGAACAGATAGTAAGGAAACACTTCTGGCAATTTAATGTAAAAGATTAATATAATTTAGGCTAAAAGGGGCAAAAACTAAACATTAAACCTCAGTGAAAACTTCCTTTTTTAAAATTTAATTTACTGTTTACTATTAGAAAGTTTCTGTTAAAGATAATCATAAATCTACAGTCTACACAATACATGTGCTGTATATGTGCCACGTACACAAACATCCGGTTCTTGTTAAATATTACAGATTTTGGTTTGAGTCTTTCTGCTGCCCAATTTTACCTGCTGAGCTCAGTCAGACACAAGAAACGCAAACATGGCAGCCGGCACAACCACACTGCAACTCCCATCTTCCTCTTGGTGGTCGATATCTAATTAACAGACATTTGTGTGTGTGTGTGTGTGTGTGTGTGTGTGTGTGTGTGTGTGTGTGTGTGTGTGTGTGTGTGTGTGTGTGTGTGCATATGTAAGTGTGAGTGATTTATGTGCTCAGTCCTCATTTCACTGTGAGGTTAATGCTACAGGCCGCCGCAGCTGGTATCCCCAGGGGTGTTTGTCAGTGACCCTTGTGCGTGCACGCACAGACACACACTCTCTTACACACAATGGGGGCTCGCAGACGTGTAGAGAGAAATGTTCATGAATATTAAACAAAACCTCAACGGCTGCGATTCATATCACACAATCATTTTTTTTCAGTCTATCAGTAAAAACCCTCATTTCCCGCCACGAGGCATCATGTTTCTAAGTCTCGTCTCAAAAAGTAGCCCAATATTTCCACTCCAGTTGTTTTGCTAAAAATGACACCCCAGGGTACCAAAAAAATGGGGGGGGGAAAAAAAAACAGGAAAACAGCACTGGGGTTGATCACTGTGCTGGAGATCACAGATTCAGTGAAGAAAAACGGTGCTTATGAGCTCACACATACACATGCTTTGTCTCAGCTGAACGGGCCTGAACACTCAAATTGCACCAGTGCTTGAGGTTGATAGGGGAGTAGGAAGGGAGCAGTGACATTTTGTTCAAAGCTGTGTCCGCTTTTGCTTTCTCATTGGTAGTTCCTCTCCTAATTCTCGCCCAGCTCTGCTTCACATCCATTTCTGCATTTCTCATATCCCGGCTCTCCTCTTCAGACTCTGTGTTATTAGCGTTTAAGAATTCATCACGTTTCTCTTTCTTCATCCCCCCCGATTTCATTATTACTGTGTGTGTTTCTCTGATTGAGCTTTATTTGAGATGACTCTCTTTGCTCTGCCCTTTACTGAATGAATATGGAGGATGCGGGGGCTTAAATAGGGGCTCTGAGAACCCCCTGCATCCCACCATGTCTGGTAGGAGGACAGAAACAGAAGACCATCTGTCCTGAACATGCCACACACATATGCACAGTTCTCTCCCTGACCAGTATCCACCAACACACGATGAAATCTGATAGGTGATTAAATGCATAAAACAAGCAGATGGAACAACGACGGAGCTGAAAGGGAAAACCCCGCCATGTCTGTTTGTGTTTTCGTCCCTGGGTAGCAGAGAGACAGTGAAGCCACACACCTACCTGCTAACACACCACACACATAGACCAGTCCAATTCTCAGGGCACCGTGGACCATTTCTAGAGGGACGCCCACCAGCAGCTGCATGGCCATGTTCAGGCTCAGGTGTTCAATCCTGTAACAAGAAAAATATATAACCCTGCACTTAATACAGTAGCAATATAAAAAGGTCATTGCAGAAATGTGAGTGGCACATGAGCTATTGAGGTCACACTGTGAGGCCTCAAAGTTTTACCATTTGTGTTTTCAATATTTTGAAACAGGATTTTGAAGACCACCACTTTGTCCTCCTTTTTAAATCAAACGAGGACCATGTTTTACAAAATGAACCCTATGTTGCATTAAATAAAACTTAAAACAAGCATTTGAGGAATTTAAAGTCATCAGGGAAGTGTTCTCTCATTAGAAAATACAGCTTTTATACATTTCTACATCAATTTCAGATGTGGATGCTACATTCACCCTCTATACAGCCTATACATTCAGAGCAGGATACAACAAATGGAGCTCAGACTCCCCAGTTTATAGTGTTGTGTGATTTATTTTGGAAAAAAGTAATGTGTCATTCCAGAAACATTCTTCCCTACAAACAGCCCCTTGTCATTTTGACAAGTTTCTTGAATCTAAACTGGAAGCTGGTTCCACAGAAGAGGGGCCTGAAAACTGATATGTGCATTGAAGGACATATCCTGGTCAATAATGACTCCAAGGTTCCTTACAGTGTTACTGGAGACCAAAGTAATGCCATCCAGAGTAAGAATCTGGTTAGATACCATATTTCTAAGATTTTTAAGGTCGAGTACAATAACCTCAGTTTGATCTGAATTTAAATGCAGAAAATCAAGTCATCAAGGTCTTTATGAGACATTCCTGCAGTTTAACAAATTGGTGTGTATTTTTTGGTTTCATGGATAGATAAAGTTAGATGTCATCTGCATAGCAGTGAAAATGTATGCTATGCCTTCTGATGATACTGCCTAAGGGACGCATGTAAACAGAATTGGTCCTAGCACAGAACCTTGTGGAACTCCATAATTAACCTTAGTGCAGGGGTGTCGAACTCCAGGCCTCGAGGGCTGGTGTCCTGCAGGCTTTAGATCTTACCCTGTTTCAACACACCTGAATCAAATGATTAGTTCATTTCCAGGCTTCTGGAGAACTTCAAGACATGTTTAGGAGGTAATTTAGCCATTTAAATCAGCTGTGTTGGATCAAGGACGCATCTAAAACCTGCAGGACACCAGCCTTCGAGGCCTGGAGTTCGACACCTGTGCCTTATTGTGTAAAGAGTACTCTCCATTTACATGAACAAATTGGACTCTATTAGATAGATATGACATATATCTATGACATATATTACAAACCACTGCAGCGCAGTACCTGTAATACACACAGAATGCTCTAATTGTTCATTTGTAACCTTCACTAAAGCTGTTTCTGTGCTGTGATGAGCTCTGAAACTCTTCAAATAAGCCATTCCTCTGCAGACGATCAGTTAGCTCTTTGACAACTACTCTTTCAAAATTTTTGAAGAGTATCTAGAATTAAAATTTTTGAATTTTTGTTGCCATAGATGTCGTCAAATGTTATTTTGAACACACACACACACACACACACACACACACACACACACACACACACACACACACACACACACACACACACACTTTCTGCTGATTAACATAGCTCCTGGATTTGTTTTTGCCTTTAAGGCTTAAAAACATTTCCATAAAAATTAATATTCCTCCTCCATCTGCACGAAAAGAAAGAAAGATGGGGAAGAAATGGAGGCTGGTCAGTTTGCATACTTCTCCATTGAGGTTTATTTCTGAAGCCAATATTTGCAGTCAGTTTATGACTTAAGAATCTGTGTTGCTGAGCTGTTGAGAGGATTACATGCTTTGTTAATGTGTGTGCACGCATCTATTAAGTGTCTCATAATTAACAACTAAATTTCTTACTATATTGTTTATTAGTGGTTCAAAGCAGTTTTTTTCCACTGCAGCTTTTAAACACTGCATAATGTCATAAACACACAAATCCACCTTTAGTGTATCTAAATAAGCATGATATATCATCGCATATGATACATTTATAATGATTTTTACCCAAATTTGCAATGAAAGAAACTTGAATATCAACAATTTCCCAGCCAGAAAACCCATGTGGCCTTATCACTCACTTATGAATGTGTAACACAACATAGCATTGCACTCAATTCCAAATCTTAAACATGTATCGTCTGCCTAATCTTGACAAATATGAAAACAGACATGAAAGTGTTGGGTTTTGCATTTCTCTCAAGCGACATGCTGTTTGATCATATTTAATTAGTTTTATGTCGCATTAAAAGTGCAAAAATGACCACTTTCATGACAAATTCCTTGTATGAGACATAGAAGTCTTTAAAAGGCAACTTTTTTCTCCTGTTTCTCTTCTGTAAACTTTAAAAGTGAAGACATGAAAGTGATAAAAAATTCTGTGATGGCAAAACACTTCTTTTTCCTCCTGCGGATGATTGGCAGGAAACGTACTGAACTCTGGCACAAAGAAGTAGTGAAACAGAAACTGTGATGAGAATCAAATTCTGGATTCATGTTTACTGGGATGGGAAATGTTTTTCACACTGTGTAAAAGTAAATGGGAGCTACCTCCTCAAAGAAGAAGAAAACATGATTTCATGAACGATACAGAGCTTGCAAAGGCATTATCAGAAAAAAAGGGCAACTTGAATGTCACAAAGAAAGGAAAAAAAGCCATATAGGAAGGGAAAAAAATATGTCCCCAAGAGTAAATGTTTATGTTTTATATCAAAGTCTTACATGACTCATGTCTCATAATTTAATCACAAAAGTGATTAATTCACTTTTCACTTAATTCTTATGTTTTATGACACAACAGCAAAAGAAGCCAAACAGCATAATGTGAGATATGAGTCCTTTGAGATATACAGTACAATATATATAGAAGACAAACACTTGAATTTTAGACAAAAAAGAGAGTGGCCTCAGGGGAAAAAATCTCTCATTATTTTTATGTTTTTTTAGTAGCATTTCCTTTGTAACTGTCCACTTTGGCCTCATTATTCCAAAACTTTCATCAAAAGGCTGAGGTCATACATTGGTAAGCTGTCAGCGAGGCAAAGGGAGGTGAAAGGATAAACAGCCCGAAAACAAGTCCAAAAAGTCACACACACACACACACACAGACCTATTAGACACAAGGAATACACAGAAGACAAGAAACTTTTCCTCATCTGACAGTGTGCGCATGTTTATGTAAGCTATATCCTAATTAAAATCAAACAAACAAACAAAAACCCAAACAATCTCTGTATATAAATGGAGATAAAGTCTACTTGACGCCAAGCTGACCCTCATTTAATAAACTTATCACTACCATAGCTCAACAGGAAACAAAATGCTTATAATTGCTTATAACCAGAAAAAAAACAAGTACCAAATTTGTTTTTTTTTACAGGTAATTTCAGGGTTAACACCGGATTTTCAGGATTATGAAAGCGGTTCACTTCCTAGTGAGGTACATCATGATGGAAACTTGCACTGTCCGTATTCAGGTTATCTTCAGGTTTGATGAACACAATTAAAAAAAATACATTCTTTTGTTTTTTAACTTTGCAACCCTAATTCCAAATAAGTTGAGGCACTACGTAAAATGTAAATCCAGTAAATCCATATTTTATTCACAACAGACCACAGAAAACATGATTAAATGTTTCAAATGAAAAATAACAGCTCTTGAATTTGATGGCAGCAGAACATCTCAGAAAAAGTTGGGACAGGGAGAATAAAAAGGCTGGAAAAGTAGGTAGTAGAGATGGCACGATACAACTTTTTTTATGTTCGATACCAATAACGATATCATAAATTTGGATATCGGCTGATACCGATATGAACCCGATATAGTGTATTTTGTAATCAATACAATTTTTTTTATAAATATCTTGCTGCATTTTGTATAAGTTCACACTCAAGTTTTAAAAAACAAAACACTAAAACTATTCTGTTATACCTGTATGCAAAAAATACACTGCACCCAAAATATTTTCTAGTTCAGCTACACTGATCAATCTAGCAAACTTAAACCTACACCATCCTCCCTACTCTGGTATTTTAAAGAGTACTTAGCATAAATATTGAACAACCTAACTAATAGGGTTGCAAACCCTATAGTTTAGTTATGCAAAAAGAAAATAGGGAACCACCCTCCACCCTGTGATGCATAATCGACTTAATGCTAATCCGCGAATCATGAACTAATCGTTCAGTACTCGAGAATCACTTTACTGACTCATGAATCATGATTCACAAGCCCAACTGACTCACTGACTCACCCCCGTTGCTGTTAGCAAACTAATTTTATTAGTAGAAATATATCTAGCTTATAATTAAAATTGTGGAGAAAAACACAACATCCAGTATCTTAACAAAAATATTTCTGCTCTAAGCTGGAAGAAAAAAACCCTGAGTAGCTCCTTGGTTCACAGTAGCATCGCTCTGCTAACATGCTAACAGCACATTTGAGCTACTCACCCCCTCCCTCCTGTGCTTCTTCCTGGTTGGCAACCAATGTTAAGGCGCATTACCGCCCCCTGGCTTACAGCACAGTGGACATTTAGATGAGAAAATATATATTTGACACATTTAAGGAAAATACTAATAAAATAAAAATAAACACAATAAATGTTCCCTTTAGAATTTCTTTTGCTCTATAAAATAGTTGTTTTCTTTCAGAATCATTCATCTTAGCAGTAGGATATACATGAAAAGAGAAACAAATTAAGTTTGAGTGAAAATGTACATTTTTTGCACTCTCTGGTCAAGTGAATCAAATGACTCAAAAATTCGATTCACTTTGGTGAGTGACTCATTAAAACTCGATTCAGTAAAAAAATCGAATTTACCATCACTAGCTGTGGCTCCAGCAAACAGCACTAGAAATTAATATTAAATCAATTCTAACGACAGCTTATCAAGCTTAAATGTGCTGCTGTTGTTTATCCGCTGGTCTCCTCTTTCTAGCGCAAAGTGGACGATAAATAAACAAGAAAGACCGGACTTGCGACAGAAAAGCAGATCACCTGATCAATGATCA